CTGGAGCAACCCAGCAGCACCCCAGCTGCTCTGCCCCAGGCGTCCCCAAGTCAGCCACTGCTGAAACTGACCAGCGCTGACTATAGGAAGCCCCAGGCAGAGTTGCTCTGCCCCGGGCTTCCTGGAATCAGCTGCTGATCAGTTTCAGCAGCAGCTGACTTGGGGACGCCTGGGGTTCTTAAGTTGATTCTGTATGTAAGTCAGAACTGGCGGTCAGTTTCAGCAGTGTCTGAATCTGGACGCCAGTTCCGACTTACATACAGATTCAACTTAAGAACAAACCTACAGTCCCTATCTTGTACGTAACCCGGGGACTGCCTGTAGCTCAAAGCTGCTTCATTTTTCTGACAGATAGCTACATGAAAAATTTAAGTTAAAAATTATATTAGAATCTTAGGCCCTGATCTTGAAAGACTTTCCTTTGATGACTAATTGTCATTTGTTCAGGTAGCCCCAGTGAAGCCGCATGAGCAGAAGGATTAGGCTATTAGGAGTTACATAAAACTACAGTTTAAATTCTGAAATATTATATCACTGTTTCTTTCTCCACACTCCTCACTTTTCCCAGACAGTCAATTACTATACCAAACTAAAGAATTATTTATTTAAACAAAAGTTTAGTTTGAACTCCACTTAAAACATTACAAAGATATACCACATACACACACACACACACACACACACAAGCTCCGCAGATTGTTTGTGATAAGAGGTTACTTACTGCTTGCCTGAAAGAAACACACACACTACAGACAGCCACTTAGTCCAAGAGTCCTGTAGTTGTTCCTCCCTCACCTGGACACTTCCCTCACAAACTTGGACATCAATGTCATCTGGTAAGCCAACTAAACTGAGTTCATCCCAGTATTTGACAACCTGATCGTCAGAAGCAGTTTGAGTGCTTACACTTGTACATGATGCTATACTCTGTCGAGGTCTCTCTCTGTACAGAAGTAGAAAAGAAATGTGGGTAGGTAACTGCAATTAAAAAAATCTTAAGTTTATTATTCAATTAGCTATGTGTTTTGGAAATGACCAAACCCCAGAATGCCTCAAATGAGTTTTCCCTAAGTGTGGTGTGATAAAATATACATCAAAGAAAGAGGGGAAACTAGTCTAGTTTCTTATATTTGACACAATATTTATAGCAAAAATGAAGAGCAATGCTTTCAGTTAAAAAGTCATGTGCACCAGAAGAATGACTGTGTTAAATGACCCTTTGTCCAGACTGACCATCTCATTGTTCAAGACACACATACTAACATTTTTCGAAATGTACTTTTTGTTTGACTTGCCTCATCTCAAGAAGTGAATAGATAGATAAGTACAGGAAAATATAGTTCCAGTCAAAGTAATAATATTTCTCTGGGGACATGGGAAAACTAGGAAACAAAGAGAAGGAGGTGGTGCAAGCAGAGGGTGTCAGCTGCAGTTTTCTTATGGTTTCCTCTCTGCAACCTCGACAGCTGGTCTGTGATATAGCATTGACAATATTCTCAGAGGAGATTCTGCCCTACCAGCCAGAGGTAAGCTGCTAAGATAGCACACAGCAAGTGCATATGGGGGAAGGGTGAAAAAGGCCAAGAATGGAAAAAGATAGATGGAAGCAGATGTCTTTGTCCCACACTCCAAAATTCACAAAATAGCAAAGGGTGAGAGGAAGAGTAGAGAAAAGGAGACTTTAATTATACAAAAAGCACTACATTATGATTAAATCAAACCTATTTTTTTTAAAAAAACAAGCAACACAGTATATTTGAGCACAGGGAATCCTCTGACTTTTTAACCCATCATACCAAAATATTATCCACTAAATATCAGTGACTAACCCATTAACCAGAGAAACTTGGCTCCCATAACTCGATTCCAAGAAAAAAAAAAACCCACCACCAAAACACACCACCCACAATATTCTGCCTTGGATTTCTAAAGCACTGCATTAAGCCTTAGTGAAATGTCTAGCCAATAAGCAAATGCTTATGCCCCAGATACTGGGCTCCACATGGAGCTACCACATTGAAATGCCACGTTTCAGAGAGGCAGCACCATGTGGAGCCTGGGTTTAGCTGGGGACTCCCCCGCTAACCTTGGGCTCCATGTGGCGCTACCGCTTTGAAACATGGCATTTCAAAGCAGTAGCACAAAACGTGGAGGCTGGGATCTGGGGCATAAGCATTGAAATGCCGCAGGGAGCACGGGGCCAGTGGGGGAGTCCACAGTAGCAGCAGCATGAAAGTGCCATAGTCCTTGCCAGTTTTCATATCCTTCTGAAAAAGAACAATAAACCTGACAAATTTGTGTTTATTTTGCCATGCTGCTTGGTAAAGCTATGAGTTATGGCAGGCAACAAAGCTATAATATTTGGCTTATTTTGAAGGTTACCTTCAAGAAAATAAGGAGAAGAAGACAGGAAAAATGTAAGTGAAAGTTTAAGTTGTGCAAAAATTGATGGCTAAGATGCCCTCCACATCTGTCAAAAAAAGCTTCTCTCTCATTACTGGTGAGCAGGGGAAGTTTGGCACTATGTTACATCCTAATGACTTAGAGGACAACAAAAAAAAGTGTCCAACCTCAGAAATCAAAACCTTCAAGTCTTCCACCTATTACTACGAACAAAATAGTCCCCTTATGAACTGAAGTATTCAATTAACCCATTCTACCCAAAATGGGCAAATACCGATAGGTTCAGTAAAGGCACATATTATTAATATAGGCTCCTATAACTGAGTTACTATCAATTTTGAATCAATCTGAAAAAACGACACATTCATATCTCATTCATAAAAAGGCAATCTGAGCACCTGTTTTTCTTTAATTCATATTTACAGTTCCTTAATATCAAATGAATAAAAGCACTGCCAGCTTTATACAGAGATTCAGCATTCATACTGAATTAAGGGTTATTAAGATCAAATTTATCTGAACAGATGAATAAACTTAATCTGAATATGGACTTAAATGTAAATGTCTACAGTACTTTTAATGTTACTTATGACTTAATAAATCAGGACTCCTTAAAATGTTCCACCTTAAATCCTTTTAAAAGGCTGCCTCTCTTTGTTATTGTTTCATTTCCTACTTCACTTCTTCACTGTATTGGCAGCAGTCCAAAGCTAGCAACCAATCAGAAAACTCCAACACAACAATGCTTTAGTACTTAAACTTGGATGCTAGCCAGCATGGCACTTGGGGATGATTACATCATCACCCTCAAGGGACAGAGCTGCTTAGTTGTTCCAAGCTAAATTAATTTTGCACTTTCCCATAGGCTACAAAAACCTCTACTAATCAGCCAGCGCAACTAAATCCACATATTAGCAAGGCAGCTCTGGAACAAGAACACATCTAACCATGGTAACAGCAAAAACCCAGAATTACAAAATCCAAATATATATTAAGAAAAAAATCTATTCCATTATGCAAATATTTTAAAAAAATCTGTATTTGTAGTTACAGATGTATTTTAAACTTCATTTCCATAAATATATTCAATTACCTTTCAACATGGACCATACAGAGATATGTATGTGAACGTAATTTCTCAGAAATGACTATTAAAAATGCTGTGTTGCAAAAGGGGGCTGGGATAAACAATATTTCCAAGGACTGAAAACAGAAAACGGACATACACAAACACAGAAGAGTTCTAATAACAGCAGAATACACTGTATTAATATAGCACGTTCTTTTCACAATTGCAAAGATTAATTAATGGAGAGGGATGCAGAAGAAAGACTGCAAGATGAAACAGAAATTTCTTGCTTCTTCAACGTACACAAACACGACACTTTAGAAATCAACTGGTTAACGTGTTACTCCTCTTCTGTTCTTTTGCAAGCTCTTTCTAAGATCTATTTTAGAGTACAAATACATTTGCACTTTTAAAGCAAATGTCTCTCTTTTACTTTGGTATTCTACAAAAAGACCACGTGCTCACTTTTAGGGGGAAAAATCCTTAAAAACAAGCAGCAAAAGGAAGACTGCTATTTTTCTCACATGACTTGCAATTTTTCAAACACAGATTAATATTACTAAGCATCAAATTATTTTAAAATAATTTCACATTTTTCAAATTATTCACTTATCACTACACACAATGTTTGTACATGTGCTTCCTGACCTCTCTTCAGTAAATCAACAGTGTAACAAAATCATGACAGAAGTTTTTATGAAGAAACAGACTTACTTCTTCGGTCCTCTTTGTTTGCGTGGCACTGAGTTTTGCCTTGGAGTTCTCTCATAAGTTGCATCGCTGCTGTCATTGGTCTCACTTTTACTTAAAAGCTGTTTCTTCCAGGGGGTGATAAACGTTGGCGTTGGACTGAATTGTTTTAATTCTCCTTGTCCTAATGAGCTTCGTTCACCACAATAACAAAAGGCGCAGAGTTGTTCGCTGCAAAGCAGAGGAAACGTTTTAAAACCAAGATAATCTGGGGCATCTCCTATTAATTATGTTTTATGTTAATTTGACTGTCTCAAACAAAAGACATTAAAGAAAATATTAAGAATTTAAAATGTATCTTTAAATACATTTGAAATTTAACTACTACACATATAATTTCTGATTTAGTTATGTAACAGTAGTTTTGTTTCTCTTCCACAGAAGTCTGCAGAAAATGTAGAAAACCCTCAAGATAATAAAGTGGTTTTTTTTAAACTCGTATACTTAAAGGACCTTAGAGTCTATCAAGGCAAAAACCCTCATATGCTCTACTCACTTACTGTATCCAAAAGATGTATGCAAACCTAAATGGCTGACAACAGAAAGAACAGGAGGTAGTGGAAGAAGGAAAAAGAGATGAACTACCTCATCAAAATCCTACATCCACCAAAAAGGTAATACAGTGAAATACTCACACTACTGACACCACCCCCCCCCCACACACACCCATAACAAAGTATGCTTAATACCATATAACCACGTATATACAATACAAATGCAATTATTATGTATTGTATATAAATCACCACACACACACGAAAAAATGAACAGTAAGATCAGAATAACAGAACATTCATGGCAATGACATCATAAAGACACATTATATTTAGAGATATACAAATCTATATAACCACTTACACACACACACACACACACACACACACACACACACACACACACTATAAACAGAGAAGCCTAAACTTACACTCAAAGAAACTTACATGTATTTAGTACCAGGGTGGATAAAAATCAATGATTATTAAAAAAAATTAAAAATAGGATATTTTATTTATATCAGATTTTTAAAATTTTAAATCCAATTTTTTTATAAAATGCTTTTTGAGGAAAAAACTATAGTTACATAGTTTCCTCAATGATATAATGATGGAATGGGGATTATAAATTCTAATTCACATAATGTTTAAAAAAAGTTCTGTAAATGAGTTCCAATAGTTCACGGATTAGGGACCCAATATTACAGGGTTCCAGAGGCTTCTGTATAGATTATTTAGGTTAATCTTTCTTTCTACCCAAAAAATGTGGATTTGTGTCTCCAGAGGTACATGTTCATTAACAGCAAAAAGTAATGAGTAAGTAAATGAATGAATGAATGAATGAATGAATTAATTAATGTGAGAAATAACAGACCTCAACCCTGTTTGCATACACAGAGTCAAAACATACAAAGTTTCAAAAATTTCAATGAATAGAAGACAATATTTTAAGTTTCTCATATTAACCTGGCTGGCAGTCAATTGAATTTTTTGTTTGTTTGTCTGTTTCATTTAACTGTTTTAGTTAAAAAACAATTTAACAAAAACAAACCTGATTTTTAAAAACTTGAATGTTTAACTAAATTAAAAAATGCATGTTTGTTTTGGTAAATTTTTATGTGTTTGGTATTGTAGAAAAAAATCTAGAATATGTAACATTGTTGTTTTAGTTAAAACAATTTAAAATGTCTGTCTGGTGCGATTCTCCTACTAATACAGCATGGCAAAAAATTCCTCCAAATATTAATGATTAACCTGTTGAACTGGAGAGAGTTTACCTCTCAATGACTTCATAAATATCTGCTTCAATTACCAACAGAAAATGAAATAATCAAACAATCATTCATTTTCTGATACAGCTGTGAAACTAATCTGAAAAGTTTTCAAAATCAATCGCTGTTTTAAAACGTATAGTGTGTGCTTTCTAAAAATGAAACCTATGTCTGACTCTGAGTTGTGAAAAATAGGTATCAAGTTTATGACAACCAACAAGGATACTCTTCTTTGTAGAAAATCATGATTAAATCGAGTCTTCCTGACTAGTGATTTAAATCAGGATTTAGATTATTATTTCAATCAATTTGATTTAAATTAAATCCACTTTGTTTAGTACTGTGACACATTAAGTAAGTTATCCCTGCACCATTTGCTATCTTATAGTAAAACTCAAAACGTAATGATAGTTTTGGCAGCACTCTTTCTGTCACATCATATGGAGGTTATCGCACAATATATCTAAAATAAACACATTCAGAAACCTAAAACATGAACTCTTTCAATTTGCATAAATACGGTTTAAAGAGAAAAACCATTTTTAATGCCTAAGTGAGCAACTTTGTTCTGTGTATATTTATTTTCCTGTGATCCCCAAAATGTGCCTAAGGGAATGTGGCATTTGGGTTGAAGCCTGGTTTGGAAAAAGCTCCCTTTAAATAGAATTTAAGCACATCTCTGAGGTGACATATTTGGACTCTGGGAGCTGTAAGCTGAAAATAAAAAGTCCCCTGGAGGTCCAATTACAGTACAGTGTTCACTAGGAGTTGGAAAAAAAAAGATTGTCTGCACTGTTAGTCAAGGGAGCTGGTCTATACTACAAAGCTAGGATGGTTTAAACTATATTGCTCAGGGCTGCATGCAGCGTTTCAAAGCGGCAGCACCACACGGAACCCGTATTCCAGGCTCTGTGTGGCGCTGTCACTTCAGAAGTACTCCCTTCCCCTCCTCTTTGCTACCTCTATTTTGCAGCAGAGGGCAGGAAGTGACTAGTCAACTTGACTAACCAATAAGCATTTGCTTATTGGATAGTCGACTAGTCCTTAACATCCTTACTCTTGGACAGGTGGATTTACTACATCAATGGACTAAGCTCTTCCACTGCTTTAATAAGCTGCTACACTACAGTGCTGCAGCATTTCTCGTGTAGACTTACCGAAAGTCAGGTATAAACAGTTGTAACAGCCAAATGAAGAAAAGAACTAAAAAGAGGAATGTTGAAGCCTGGAACAGAGGACTGTGAGAGTGCATCTACAATGAACCATAGGTTGAAATAAGATACACAATTTGAGCTATGCATATTTTATTTCAATGTTATTTCGAAATAACTTATTTCGAAATTTGGCGCTGTCTACACAGCACTTATTTCAAAATAAATCACTATTCTGAAATGTCCCCTATTCCTTGTGGAAAGAGGTTTACAGGGATGTCGGAATAGCGAGCCCGTTACACTTCAAAATAACGGGCACACTCCAAAGATGCAGAAGAGCTACATTGGGATACTCGAAATAGCACTACAGTGTAGATGTATCCTGACAATCCAATACAGTCCTTTAACTCTGACAATGCATCTTGAGACTGGACAAAATCTTGCCCTTTCAATACACCACCACTGGAGAACAGAAGACGGAAAAGAGAGGAAGATGGGAAAGAGAAGTGCCTGCAGAGAAAGTCCCTGAGACAACCTCCTAGCACTCACAGCTGGCTGTCTCATATGGAAAGGCCGTAATAAGGAGGATATGGGGTTTTTTTTAGGCACTTCTTAACAATGGCCCAAGGAGGAGCAATATGCTGCCAGCTGCACCACATATGTAGTATTGGCCATGCTAAACTGGCAGATCGCACCTTTTGGGGCCAAGCTGCTTCAATAGAAGCCTTAGTTGGGTCCCCCGCATAGCACTAAAGCAATGCTACAGAAGACCCCAAGCTGCTGCTTTTGGAAAGAAAATTAGTGCATATTCATGACTCAAGTTAACTCCTGTTCAAACGCTACCGATCTCGCTTGACATAGGCTAGGTGCTGGCCTATATTATAACACACAACCCAAACGAGAGATTTTGCTCATAACTGAGTAATAGGCAAGGGATTAATTTCAGAAATCTTCAGAAGAATCTGCCTGAAGACAAAAGTGTTTTGAAGAAAGAAAAATCTAAATTCCATGAAGAGGGCCTAAAGATGAGAGATCTCTCTCTTACATGTTATAATTTTAAATGTAATATGGCAAAGAAACAAATTGGTAGTTATTTATATTTCAGCGAATATGGCCCAATCACAGTATTAGGTGAAAACATGCAATTTGATTTTGTACACACAGGCTATATCTACACTTGCGGCTTCTTGAGCAAGTACGGCCGTTCTTGCGCAAGAATCTGCAGTGTGTCCACACTGCCATGGTGGCAGGGGACTGGACTCGATGACCTCTCGAAGTCTCTTCCAGACCTAGTATTCTATGATTCTATGATTCTACCCGCTCTTGTTCAAGGAAATTTATAGTATGGCATGGTAAGAGAGGGCTCCTTGCACAAGAGTTACTCTCTTTTTTATCAGGTGTAAGCCCTCTTGTGCAGGAGCTCTTGCACAAGAGGGCAGTGTGGATGCTCAGCAGGGATTTCTTGCGCAAGAAAGCCCTATGGCTAAAATGGCCATCAGAGCTTTCTTGCGCAAGAGATCGTCCACACTGCCATGGGAGCTCTTATGCAAAAGCACAGCGCGCACATGGCAATATGGACATTTTCTTGCGCAAGACTTCTTGCACAAGAACCCTTGCGCAAGATGTTCTTGTGCAAGAAGCCGCCAGTGTAGACATAGCCACAGTGTTCAGATCAGGTGACAAAATTATTTAGGGTAGTCAAATCTAAGAACTGTGAGAAACTACACAAGACCTTAAAGGTAGGTGAAAGGGCAGTGCACTGGCTGATAAAACAGTGCTTACAAATGCAGAGCTTTCCACATTGGAAGGAATAATTTGAACTACTCATACACATGTGGCTGGAGTATAAAATAACTTACAAAACAACTTACAAAAGTGGTTGGGATCATTATGAACAGTTAAACAACCACCAAAAAACCCTGCTCAATGTAAAACAGTCAAAATTGCAAACAAAACATTACTATAAGGAATTAAACAGAAGATATTTAAAACATGATGCTATTATATAACCCAGTACTGGAGTGCTACTGGACTTTCTAGGGTTAGTCAACTGCAATATCTTTGCTGCAGGTTGCAGCTTTCTGAAACAGCAATAGGATAAAGTTAACAAAATCAGTCTGTTTCATGGCTGCTATTCAGAATGGTGTGGGCACCTGTGTAAATGTAAAGAATCGTGTCAGTTTTGTGGTACTACATGGGAAAAGCTACTAACACAGCAGCTGATGTATGCAGATAGGAAGATGAGGAAGCAAAAA